ACGCTTGCCTGAACACTCCCGACAGCTCGCCTGCTGTTGGCCATTTAGAACAGTTAAGAAAAACTGTGATGTCAGCCGGAATCTGCGCGAAAACGCAGACAACAATTACAAAATACTTCAACAAATAAAGGTATGCTTCTGCAGCTTGATTTTAAATGTTGTTTTCCCTGTTCATTTGTTAATTCAGCATTCGGTTAATTCGGACAGTTTTTCCTGTGCCGTGAAATCCGAATTAACGAGCTTTTACTGTATTAGAATCATTTTTTAACTTGTATGATGCTCACACAAGCGAATTGTTTTAACAGGCCAGAATAGCACCCATACATTGTCTCTACAATATTAAGTTAGCATTGGCAATCAGGCATGAATTGAAAGAAAGCCGACATTTTTTGTATGACCTCTTAAAACTGCAGCCAAATAATACATTGTTTGAAACACAAAATAAAGAAACATGAAAAATAAAAAATTGGCCCCCTATCTGCATGTAATCTGCAAATGTCGTCGAAAAACGATACTCTTGCGTGTGGAAAGAGCGAACAATTCATTTGATGTTCTGCACAAGAAAATCGGAGAATGCTATTTTGGAGGCGCTGTGTTGGAGTGCCTCGAACGTGCAGTGTAGGCGAACGAGCGCATCAAGTCACGTCACACGTGCGACATGAGCGCCACCTGGCAGTGTTCTTGGAAAACTAAGCACGTGGATTTCAGATCAGACGGGTGTGCGCGCCTGTCTCAGAGGTGATAAGGTGTAGCATGCAAGGCGAAGGGTAGGTGCCACCACCATCGCGTCTTAGCAAAGGGTTGGAAACACCTTTTCGTGCAAACGTTGCATGGTCAGCGCAGTGCGATAAGCACTATGGCCCTTAAAATTACTTATGTATGCCTTTTCTAGTAAAAGATGCACATGCGGAGGAAGAAGAGGAGGAGGAAGAAAGTTTAAGCGAAAAGACAGGGAGGTTAGCCAGTTCTTAGACCGGCTGGCTACCCTGTGCTGGGGAAAGGGGTGAGGGGAATGAAAGATGTTAAAAAGAAATGTTGCGAAGAGAAAGAGAAATTACAAAAAAAAAAAACTACGACAGAAGAAAGGCGACATCAAAGAGTATAAGACACTAAAGTCTGTCTCTGAGGCCAGTTGTCCGCAAAAAGCGCAGCAAAGCTTTCAAAGCCTTCTGGGCTGAGGATGGGCTCGGCCAATGACCCAGAATCCTTTGTTCCGACAAAGGCCGATCGTCTAGTCTATCCAGAGCTGCAGTGAGTTCTTGTCTTTGCACGTTGAAATGGGCGCACTCACACAGAAGGTGCGCGATGGTTTCTTCGCGACTGCAGTAAGTGCATGTAGGAGAGCTGGCCATCCCAATGAGATACGAGTATGCGTTCGTGAAGGCCACTCCAAGCCACAGGCAGCATAGAAGAGTCTCCTCAGCTCGAGATATCCTTGGGGGAAGACGAAGCTGCAGATTGGGATCCAAGTTATGCAGGCGCGCATTTGTGAAGTCTGTTGAGTTCCACTGTACCAGTGTGAGGTCACGTGCAAGCGAACGAAGTCTTGTAGCTGCGTCGGTTCTTGAGAACAGGGCTATGGATTGGGTACCATCGTGTGCAGATCTAGCGGCCTCATCTGCGCGGTCATTGCCATATACACCGCAATGGCCTGGTATCCACTGATACACTATGCTGTGCTGTTTATCGATTGCTTGGTGATGAAGAAGCCTTATTTCAGCTACTAACTGTTCATTAGGTCCATGGCGAAAGGGTGACATAAGACATTGAAGAGATGCCTTCGAGTCCGAGAAGATAGACCGAATTTTCGAAGGTTCTTCCACTACAAACTCCAGAGCTGCACGTATGGCCGCAAGTTCTGCAGCTGTCGACGGCGTCAAATGCGATATCATGAATTTAATTGTGATGTGCCTCGCGGGAATAACCACCGCCCCTGCAGAGCTTACTGAAGACACCGAGCCATCCGTGTAAATGTGAAGGCGTCCGTTGTGCTTCTCTTGCAGAAAAAGTAATGTGGCCTGTTTCAGGGCTAGATGCGACGACTTTTTCTTGTTTTGAATGCCAGGAATTGTAAGAAGGGCTTTGAGTGGGTGTAGGCACCATAATGGTATCGGCGGCTGCGCTGCATGCGTGAAGTGCAATGGAAGCACTGCGCAATGCTGAGCCACAGTTGCGCTGAACGCTGAGTGGGGCCTGGAAGTTCGAAGTGAGGCGAGGTGATGAGATGGAAGCCGAGCGAAATGTCTTATGTGCATTCTCAAAGCGTCTACGCGGATGTATGCGTTGACTGGATAATCACGTGCAATGATTACTGTCGCTGCTGTAGACGCGCATCTCGGGAGACCAAGGCATATTCTCAGGGCTTGGGCTTGGATCGACTGGAGGACGCGCAAGTTTGTTCTTCGGATCCCGCAAAGCACGGGTAAGCTGTATCGCATATAACCGAGGAACAGAACAGTGTAGAGTTGGAGCATTGCTCGTACCGATGCACCCCATGTTTTTCCAGCAAGAAACCTCAGTACGTGGGTGATCATGGTGAGTTTAGTTTTCATGTGGGTGATGTGAGGGCTCCAGGAGAGGTCGCAATCAACTATGACTTCGAGGAATCGGTGGGTCTTCACGTAGTTGATCGTGTGTCCGTTGATTTTAATAACATATGGGCTCATAGCCTTATGCGTGAATGCTATAAGCGAGCATTTTTCTGACAACAGCTCTAGTTCCCGTTCTTCCAGGTACTTTGTCGCTATTGTAGCCGCTCTCTGAAGCCGGGCACGCAAATGAAGGCGTGTTACGCCTGACGCCCAGATGCAGATGTCATCTGCATGTATTGATAGATGGGCAGATTCTGGAAGTGCGTCAACCAGGCCGAGTAGCGCTATATTGAAAAGTGTGGGACTAAGAACACCGCCTTGCGGCACACCACGACGGTTGCAATGGTGCGTTGTTGTGCCATTCTCCGTCTGTACAAAGAAAGTTCTGCCTTTCAGATAGCTGTGGATCCATTGGTAAACCCGACCCCCTAATCCAACATTTTCCATGACATCCAGAATGGCTTCATGTGATACGTTATCGTATGCACCTTTCACGTCCAAGAACAACGCCGCAGATAAACGTTTCAGTCTTTTTTGATGCTGAACAGATCAGACCAGGTCTATAACGTTATCAATTGCGGACCGTTCAAGCCGAAAGCCCGTCATAGCATGAGGGTATACCACGTGGTGCTCCAAGTACCACTCTAGGCGAGTCAAAATCATCCTCTCCATCGCTTTCCCGAAACAGCTGGTAAGCGCGATGGGGCGATAAGAGGTCAAGTGCAGAGGAGATTTACCTGGTTTAAGCACAGGGACGAGGCGGCTGGATTTCCATGAATGAGCGATAAATCCGCTGCTCCACGAGTCGTTGTACACGGATAGAAGGGCCCGTCGAGCTGCTTCTCCGAGGTCGCAAAGAGCCATGTACATGATCCCATCCGGAAAAGGCGATGAAGATCGTTTGCATGCCGTCAAGGCCGCTTGTAGTTCCTCTAGAGAGAAAAAGGTGTCCATTCTTGAATCTCTGGAAACTGGAGCGTTTTCTAGGTGGCGCGTGGTGCACGCGGACGCATGACCGGCAACTTTCATGCAGAAATCTTCTGCTACTTCAATTTCGGTGCGGCCTTAGTGGAGAGAAAGACACTTGAAGGGGTGATGTTGATGTGGCGATGTTCGTAGGCCACGGACAATCCTCCATGTCTGCGTCAAAGGCTTGTGTGGATCCAAAGATTCGCACAGATGTTTCCAGCGAAATGATTGAAGTGAAATGATTCGCCGCTGAATTTTTTTCTGTAGACGCCTTGCCTCCCGCAAGTCGTGAATGGACTTTGTGCGCCTATACCTTCTTTCTGCGCAACGACGGATCGCTCTGAGCCGTTCCAATTCCGCTTGATGTTGACAATATTCTGAAGTATGTTGAATATGATAGGTCGCTTCTTGAGTAGCACCTCTAATCATATCCTCGATGGTGTCAAGAGGAGGCGCTTTATTTTCTTGACACCTCTTTTCCGTCAGTAACCTGAACTTTGTCCAGTCGATGCGAGTCGAAGTGTCGTAGTTTGGCGATTTTTCCAGGCCCTTGATCTTCAAATAAGTTGGTATGTGGTCGCTTCCATGAGTTTCATAGTCTGCGAACCACTTGACCTTTCCATTTAGGCTTCGTGACACAAATGTCAAGTCAAGGCAGCTGCTGTATGTCGTTCCCCGTAGAAACGTTGGGCTTCCGTCGTTTACACAAAGCAGCTGCTGCTCCAGAGCAAAGAAGAATACTTGCCTTCCGTGACTGTCTGTCTTCTGACGCATGCAGAATACACATGCAGAATACATATGTGTCGTTATGGTGCCCCAGACTTGTACAATAATTGCTTATTAATTGACAATCGCAGAAGTCATCGCAGAATGCTAAATCTTGAGCAACATTGATGGTCGCTGCGGATGGGGTCGGCCGTTTCAAGTACCCGGCGCCGTTAAGAGTAGACAAACACACAAATGTACAGAAAGACAGACAGACAAACAGACCAAAATTTTTACGTCGAAAGTCCACAAGAAAGACTATCGTCTTTAAAACTTCGAGAACAAACTACTCCACAGATAAGTTATCCTACATAGTTCCTCTGTTACTTAATAAATATGTGAAAGCTGGCTTAAATTTCTTACACTGTACACAGACTCAATTGGGCGATATACACATGTTTAGTTTTTAAGATTTCTTTGCAGTTGCTGTATTATCATGATTGCTATTTTTATTTTTGGAATTTGGACTTGATTTCTATATTTATTTATTTATTTATTTGTTGCTATTATTGTTGAGTTCACATTGCTGACTGTTTGCCACTGCTGTTGTGCTAAAAGGTGGCTGTGGGCCTTTGTCAAGCTGCCTCTTTCGGAGAGCAGCTTTTACCTGCAGCTGTCCTTCATCAAACTATTGATGAAAAATAAAACATTATTATTATTGTTATTATTACTAACCTGTATGGCACCGCTGCTGTGGCCCGTGAAAATGTAGCGCCGTGGACGAGATCCCATTCGGTTGGAGCCCTCGCACTCGTGCACACAGAAGGATGTTACTGTGGTCCCATCGACCGACTTGATCACACATATCCTGGAAGCCATGAACCAGTGAAGTGAGGACTGTGCTCTTTGCTTGAACTAGCCCACCCAACAATGTATGACCACACCATTGGTAACAATTGCAGTGATAAATCAGTTTAAATCAACACTGTGGCCAGGTCACTTGACGAAATCGGGTTTAACACTGTGTTTCTGCGTTTTAACAATGTTCTGAATGGCGTAGCGTGTAATGTCGTCCCCTGATGAAGTGACTATTAATGTTATCACTAGGGGTGTGAGAATATTAGAAATTTCAAACATTTTTTTTATAATAGTGTTTGCTATTCGATTAGATTCGTACTGAAATTTTCGTTATTCGAACTTCCCAAAGACGAATGCAGCCAGGGTCTAATTGAAAGTGACCCTTACGGTCTTTAATATGAGTCACCTCACAAGTTTTCATATTAGGGCAAAACTGCCCTTCAGGCTCCTCTTTGATTGCAAATGTATTGACTCAAGAAAATGATGCTTCCAACATGGCGATGGTAGATATGGCAGAGGCGAGGGCTTAATTAATGCTGTTTTCTATCTAAAATTTGGGCAGGAAGTATTTTTAAACTTGGACAATGAACATTTTTAGCGCCCAAAACTTTCAAGGTCCTTGCAAGGTAATGTCTTCGAGACAGATTTGGAACTCCTAACTCGAAGAGAGCACACCGTTGTCCGCCACATCAATTGGGCTTTCACAGATGTTGAAAGTGAAGGAGAGGCTGATGAAATAGCATCTCTGTCTTTCATGTGTAAAGTGTTGTTGGCAACACTTTGGTTGCACCAGATCATGCAGTAATTCAATTTGGCCTCTGCATTGCCTCATTCTTGATAAGATAACTATGAAATACCACCCAGCCAGCACTTGATCAACCTAGCGAAAAGTAACACTTTCATATTGCTGTATCTCAATAGAATATACTTAGAAATCCTCTCCAGCTTCTTTTCCACAATTACATCTCGAACTATATAAAAAATATCCTAGAAATATTCGAGAAGTATTTGATTTAATTTGCTATCACAATTTTATAATCGAATTTGCCTCGCACACGAAATTTTGCTATTTGCACAGCTCTAGTTATCATCTGTACATATATGCCAGTGCTTTGAAATAAAGTTATGTTTTGTGGTCGGTAATAGAAGCAGACTAGTACTCTATTCGGAAAGTCACGTGACCCACAAAACAGCTAACACTCTCCTTCAAAGAACGAGTGCTGTACACACATGTGATAATAACAGAAAGTGATGATGATGATGTGTGGGGCTTTATGGCGCAAGGGCCAATTGATGGCCAAAGAGCGCCATTTCAATGAGTATAGAGATATGGACAATGATATGTTGCGTGGCTGTATAGGGGCCTTAAAATTCCTCGTGATAATGCGGGTAAAAACATAAGTATTAAAAACATGACAGTGACGTGATATGCATAGTAAAAAGGGTGACAAAGGTTTTGATAATAGAAACGTGTAAACACTAGCACAAGTGCCTCATCAGCGCCCTTGTGCCCAAGGGCTGCGAGGCAAGTGCTTTCTTGCTTAGCCACCGCAGCAAAAACCTCTCTGCAGAGGTCGTGCTTCGGAATGCTCGGGTATATGATATGAAAACTATGAATTTCTTTTAAAAACGCTAACAATGATTTATGACTAAAAAGCGGTTCCCTACCGACGAACGTTGTAGGATGTAAAGGTATATGTTGTCAGTAGGGTAATGGAAAATGTTGTTTTCTTAAGGTTTCTAACTCTTTGCACTAGATTAACATGTGTAAGACTGTTAATGCTTCACCACATGTGTCACACAATGATGGATCGCCACCAGACAAAAGATATGTGTGTGTCGTGTATGTGTGTCCTATCCTGAGCCTTGTTCGTGTTACCTCTGTTAGACGTGATTTTGATACTGGTGGCCAATGGCCAAGGTGTGGCCTGATAACGTGTAGCTTGTTTTGTGTGTGTCTATCCCACTTGCTCTGCCAGTAGTCCCTGAGCTTTCGTTTGAGAGACGGCTTAAGATCAAGGGGCGGGATCGATATGGGTGTAGTGGAACTGATTTCGTGGACGGATGCAGCAAGCTGATCCGCCATCACGTTGCCTTGAATCTCACGGTGCCCTGGCACCCAGCACACTACAACATGTTGTTTGAGTGTATAGAGTGTGCATAAAATAAAGTAAAGTGAGATGAGGACAGAGTTTTTTTGTTTTTTAAGATTGTGCAGAGCCGTAACCACACTGAGGGAGTCCGTATAAATTACTGCTTTTTGTATTTGTGATTGCTTGATGTGTTTAGCCGCCACAAGTATCGCATAAGCTTCCGCTGTGAATATACTTGTGCCTGGATGTAGAGGGCCAGCATCCGAAAAGGATGGGCCGACAGCAGCGTAGGATACAGAGGAGTTACACATTGCCAGGTTGCATGACTTAAAGCCAAGCTGGACGTCATCGACATATGTACAATAGAACATATTGCGAGGGATGGACAGATGCAAGGAATTCATTTTGATAATAAAAAGTGTACAACTAAGTACACCGCCTCGCGGTGCTCCCGTTTCTTGAACAAATGTTTGGGAGAGAACACTTGCCACACGCACACGGAATGTCCAATTGGACAAGTAACTCTCGATTATGGAAAGCATTCTACCGCGCACACCCAGGTGAGACAAGTCTCTTAATATGCCAAAACGCCATGTTGTGTCGCAAGACTTCTCGATATCGAGAAACACAGAAAGAAAGTATTGTTTGTGGACCAAAGCGTCTCGGATCTGTGCCTCGATACGCACCAGGTGGTCGGTGGTGGATCTACCCTCTCGAAACCCGCACTGAAATGGGTCGAGCAAATTGTTTGTTTCAAGGAAATGTACAAGTGGGCAGTTCATCATTTTTTCGAAGACTTTGCACAAGCAGCTTGTAAGTGCAATATGCCTATATCTTGAAACTGAGGAAGGGTCCTTGCCCTCTTTTAAAATAGGAATAATTATAGCCTCTTTCCAGGAAGCGGGGATGACGCCAAAAAACCAGATAGCATTGTATAGGGAGAGTAAAGTTTTTCGCGTTTCAAGCGGCAGGTTTTTCAACATTTCATACATGACATGGTCGTAGCCTGGGGCAGAATTACTGCAGGAGTTTAGTGATGTTTGTAGCTCAGCTAAGTTGAAAGGTTGGTTGTATGCCTCGTATTTTGTACACTTGTATTCCAGTTTCTGCTTTTCTATTTTTGCTTTATATCTTTGAAAAGCTTCAGTATAGTGTGACGAGCTAGAGACCTGCTCGAAGTGTGCACCGAGGAAGTTCGCCTGATTTCTCAGGCTGTCACCCTGTGTGTTTACGAGTGGGAGTGAATGCATTTGTCTTCCTGCTACTCTACCAACCATGTTCCAGACTTTAGCCTCTTGGGTATATGAATTAATCCCCGATAAAAACTTGTGCCAGCTTTCTCTTCTGGCCTGCCGACGCGTTCTCTTGGCCTGAGACTTCATTTTCTTAAAAGTGGCAAGATTTTTGGCTGTCGGTGAGTTCCGAAGCAATCTCCATGCTTTGTTTTGCTGCCTGCGTGCATTTTGGCACTCCGAGTTCTACCATGGCACACGTCATTTTCCAGGGTGTCCATTCATTTGTGGTATGCTTTTTGTTGCTGCATCAATCAGAGACGCTGTAAAGTAGTCGACAGCCGCATCAATGCTTAAAGTGCATATGTCGCGCCAGTTTAAATGAGTGACGGTATAGAATTGTTCCCAGTTGGCTTTGCTTAATAGCCATTTCGGAACCTGGAGCGGGCATTCAGTTGATCTAGGTGTGCTCAAAACTACGGGAAAATGGTCACTTCCGTAGGGATTAGTGACAACGAGAGTCGCCCCATAGCTTGTTATGTGCATTAAAGTCCCCTAGAACAAGATATCGGGTTCGGGAAGTTCATCTATCAAGGACTGGAATTCATGTTTGTGTAGTTGAAAATGTGGAGGTATGTATATAGAGCAAATGATGACGAGTTTGCTTAGAAGCATCACTCAAACAGCCACTGCCTCAAGAGACGTTTGGAGTTTCAAGTGTTTACATGCTAAACCTTGCTTAACTATAACAGCTACACCTACAGATGATTCCAAGGCATCATCACGGTCCTTTCGGAAAATAATGTAACTGCATAGAAAGTTGGTGTGTTCAGATTTTAAGTGTGTTTTCTGTACACACAGCACTTTTGGTGAGTGAATGTGTAGAAGTTCTTGGACAACGTCGAGGTTTGTGAGAAGGCCTTTGACATTCCATTGCACAATCTGTGTTTCCATATTTGATGGAAAGTGGTGCTGTGTGTATGGAAATGAAGTGGCTGTTCAAGCGGGAAGTTGTAACTTAAGTAGCAGGGCCATCGTCGGGCCCTGTTATTGGTTTCTTGGTTTTTTTAGCGCGCTCTAGGGAGCCACGCCGCATTTCCGGCACCTGAGATACCGTGTTTGTGTCCATTGCCTCAGGTGAAACACTGGACGCCCGCGTACGCGAGCTGCTGTTGCGTATTTGCAACCTCGCCTGGTGAGACATGGTCGGTCGACCCGAAGACCCTGGAGTCGCCTGAGTCTCTGGCTCGGTAGGTGGAGCAGGCTTGGCTGCTTCCACAATGGGGGCGGCCACCACACCCGATGGCTCACTTTGCGTGGGCCTAAATAGTGGCGGAGGGTGATGCGACGCTGCCCCCTGACGCGCTGCATCAGCGTAAGTTGTGCCGTGAAAAGCCAAACACCTTCGACGTACTTCCTTGAAGGAGATATTTTCGCGAATCTTCAGTGTTTATAATGTCTTTTTCTTTTTTCCACTGTGGACAAGAACGTGAATATGAAGCGTGGTCTCCGTCACAATTTACACAATGTAGGGTTTCATTACATTTGTCAGAGATGTGGCCTTGGGCACCGCATTTGGCACAAGCAGGTCGACCACGACAGCTCTGAGAGCCATGGCCGAACCTTTGACACTGGTAACATCGGCGGGGGTTTGGTATGTAGGGTCTGATCGGTGTCTTTGTATA